TTGGGACATTAAAATTAAGTGATTATAGACAGGATGTGATTATAAACAGGGTGATTATAGACAGGTCTGACTGTATACATATTATTTTTATTAATAATTAGACCTCTTTTATAATTACTATAATTTTAATCAAGTCATAATTTTAATCAAAATTACGAATCACATAACTTATGATCATCATACAAAATTTCATTTTTAGAATTTAACATTACGCAAGTCATCTAAAAAGAAATTTATTGATTTTAAAAAAATATTTTTTGTGAAATACCTATTGTTAAAAAATAGAAATAATCTGCAAAATCATGTGATTATATATATACTATATAATTTATAATTTCACCTAAAATTATAATAATTTAAAAAAAAACATAAATCTATATAATCACACTTTTATATAATCACCAATTTTGTTAAAATTGATTAGGTAACTATATAAAGGTCTGACTAAGATTGCTGAATGAAATTAAAAGTTTAAACAGACATCTAAATGGTAAAAGTAAAACTTGGTTAAATTATATTAAAACCTTATTAAAAAATCTGCGAAATTTGGAAATAGGTAAAACTATATCAAAGCTTATAAAAATGGTGAAACTATATCAAACACTTAGTAAACATTTAGCAAAACTAAAGGTTTAACCGTTTTGCCAAATCCAAAATGAGTTTAGATAAGCAACCTTAGGTCTGACTGTACTTAATTTGTCTAAACGTCTTGAAAGAATCAAAAAATCTAACATAATACAAATATGAAAGGATGTAGTAAAAGAAAATCTGATAGTTATTTCAATGAATATTAGTACTTTAGCTACTACTTCTTTACAGGAATCTGATTCTAAAATAATCTTGATTAAATAAGATTATGATAAAAATATAAATAATAACTATTGAATTATTATAACTACTCTATACAAATTATTCAAAATAAACACAGGTTGGCTAATATAGAATAGCAATTAGTTTCTGAATAAAATGAGAATTACTAAGTATTTGAATCTTTTTATAGTATTATTCAAAAGGTTACAAACATAGTAAACTTTGTATTGCTTTAAAATATTATGATATTTTATTATTATATTAATTTTTATTAAACATATCAGATTATCTCAGAAAAAATTTTTTTTCTAAATAATTCAGATATTCTAATTTTGATTGATGATAGATTCTTTTCTTTTTCTCATTTTATAAACTTATTTTATGGTTGTTTTAAAAAAAAAGTGCAAAAAGAGTTTACATAAGTAGAAATATTAATTAAATTTATTTTTAAATTTTGTAATATGTAAATACTATAATTAATATAGATTTGTACTATTAATTTTCATTTTTTTTAGGCTTTTTAAGCAAATTAGGAATGAGATTAATTTGAATAAAGTTATATCTTTAATAATTGTTAATGCAATGAGTAATCATGCAATTTATTAAGCAACTTTAAAAGAAATTTATATATTAATAATTAACATATAGAATAGAAACATATTTAATAACAGTTTACATAATGTTATCTAAATTTTCCTTCAGATTCATCTTATACCTGAAAAAATGACAAGATATTAAAAAAACTGATATAGAAAAATAAAGAAGAAACAATCAAAATATTAAAAAAAAGTCATAGGACCTAAATTAATAGTATTTTATGAATAAACTTGCATTTGCTATTATTAACAATCAATTAATATTTATTGTATAAAAGATTATAAAAAATTGTAATATTTATTAAATATGCTAACTAAAAATCTAAATATGGAAATTCAGAGTGAAATAAAGCTAGATAAGTAGAATAGTAAAGGAAATGATATAGAAGATATAAAGAAAATAGAAGAGATCATTACTGAATTTAAGATTCAAGAGTCATCTGCAAAAACAATCTAATCCTTTATATCAATTGTTCATATGTTAACTGAGTTAGCAAAAATCAAATATGTTATTATATTAGATGATATTCAAAAAGTAGCTTTTAAAGGAACAAATTTTATTGATAAAGAAAAGACTGTATCAGCAAAGATTGTCAATTTTTTTTGGCCTTTTATTCAAAATACACAATTGACAATTATCCTTCAAAACTATACCTAATATATGCATTATTAGTAGCATTAGCAAATTATATTACAACTATTACTGGTTTTTCCTCTCTTATTTGCAAATTATCAATCACATCAAAGAACATTCACTCACTATACCTTATAGCTGTTAGAATGTATGGTGTATTTCATAAACAATATAATATACTAGTTGATGATACAAACTGGATTACTAACTCTAATCAAGCAGGAAAGAATAAACTTATGGATTCCTATGGTTTTCAATTTGCTTGGAAGGTGATTTTTATTAATAAATGACAATATGCTTGCTTGGAAAGACAAAGCCTAGCAAAGATTTTTATCAAATCAAATTTTGAAGCAAGAATGAAAGGCAAGAAAGGCAAGGTTAATATCACCAAGTTTACACCAAATACAGAAATGTCAATTTCAAAAATGGGAGCAACAGCTGAAAAATATGCATTACAGGTCAAAGACTTAACTAACATCCTAACACCTTTACATAAAGAGATTTCACATCTTGAGCTGCAGTGGATGGATTTTGGTAGGAAAGTGAGAAGGGCAGCATGGGATCCAGGCTCTGCTAATTATCAAAAATTAAAAGAAATCAGGCATGAGATAGTAACTAAACGATTCAAAGCTATCAAATTAGAGAAGGCACTTGCAAAGGCTAGAAGTTCATTATATTCTCTAAATAAAACTTTGCGAACAGCAAATTTTGCATGTACTACATCTTCCGAAAATGCAAATCCACCAGATAAGACTAAAAAAAATTCTTGAATGGAATTAAAAAGGAGGACTATATAGAAAAGGTGAGATATTATATATTATTGTCTCTTTATTGCTTAGATTAATTTTTAACTCTTTGTCTGTTTCAAAAATAGATGGATTTACTTCCAGCAATCATGGGGCATCTTCCTTCACAGCAGAAAGTTGTTTTTTCGGGGACAGACCCTGGTATCATCATAACATCTATTACATCACCAACTCACGAGACCATCTTTGCTGATATAAACCGTTTCAATATCCTTGCAAGATGACAAGAACTTACACCGAATAAGTTTAATGTTGAATTTCTTCCAAAACCCTTTAAAATCACTTCTGGTCTCATTAACGAAGTTACTTTTTTGAAGAAGCACCAAAAAAAAAAACAACGACAAAAGCATGGCGGGAGCGAGAGATTAGGATTAAAAAAGCCTATAGCAAAATAACAGCGCAGGAACGGAAACACATTCGTGCCCATATTCAGCTTCCTTCCAATTTACCAAAACCTACCCTAATCCACAGTATCGGACAATTAACAGTCCTATAAAAGGGTATTCTAAACGAGGAATGAAAAAATTCAAGCTCAACACAGGAGCTAAGGAAATGTAGCAATAGTAAATGAGTTCAATACTTTGAAGATTGTTTTTTCTCCATCAAGCTCGCAGTAGAATGTGTTCATCCCCGATGGCAGCAAGAAGAATAAAATATACTCCTTTTTGCCGCAATGCTAATCACACATGGTACAACCTTGACAAATGAACTCCTTTCAGTCATGACACCAGAACTGATTCCTCGTGACTTCATTCGTATTTGAAATTTTTTTTTAGTTTTCTAGCTGTTTATTTCATATGCTCACTTTGTCTTGTTTTGTTGCAGTATGCCCCAAATAGTATATAGGTGGAAAATGATCAAAAGGATTTATTAATTATTAAAGTCCTATATTACTCTTTTAGATAATCATGTTACAAGCGCGGGATTACAAATATGAAAACGTTAATAATTTCTTTATGTTACAATTAAGGTAATATAATGCCGTATAAGTTTTAACTTTTTTAGATTTGATACAATACATCGTTATATACATGTAATGAATATAATAAGGTAATAAAAATGGAGAGACGGATATGGATAATAAAAATTTCCGATAAGGAATGATATACTCAGTCATATGGGCTTACAGAATTTCAGATTTAATTTAGTATTTTGTAAACACAAAAATGGGGGATGTAGTATTTGCTCAATTATTACACCCCTTGTCATCATCCATTTTAAGGAATATATAATTAACTTATAATAAAATTTGTGTAACTTCACCCTTTCTAAATGACATCATTTCTGGTCTCCCTTTGGTGTTGCATCACGCATTTATTAATAATTCCTGCTCCAAAGACTGTCGCGACCATTATTTGTGCACATATGTGCATGCATAAATCAAATTAATCCGATTGCACGTTCGTCATCGTCAGCATAATCAACATAACGTGCGGGATAAATAAAGATTTACATTTTTAACGCGTCATTCTACTTTTAAAAGTTAATATACGGTACATATTATTTTAATTTAATAAATTTTAAAATCCTTAAAAATACATATAAAAATACAAAACTAATAATACATGGATTTATATACAACATAATATGAATATATTGTGATTAATAAATTAAATAATGAAATGAATGTAATGCGTTAAACATTAATAAATCAAAAAAACTAAAAAATAAATGAAAAATTAACCGGAATTTTTCTTTAATTTTAAGAGTGATAACATTAATTGATCCGATTTATATAAAACTTTATTCTTAATTTTTTTTCATCTTTTCTTTTCAACTGATGATCATCTTTTCTTTTTTCGAATCATCTAAGCTAAATTTCTTTCCATAATTTTTCTCTTGAGCATTATGATCTGAAACTTTAGGTATTTTGCCAGCTACACTCATACCATCAGCAGGTTTATATATGAATTCTTCTTGACCAAAATTAACCTTCAAACTACAAATACCATCGGAACCAATTGTTGGGAACCAAATATGAAATACTCCAATACAAATAATGCCCATATTTATGCCATTTTTAGTGAAAAAAACTTGTCCGGTATCCGGGTAATATCCACAACCTATTACGTCATTTTCTTCACCCCATTTTTCAGCATATTTTCTGCCGGTTAAACCTTCATTATGGTATTTCTTACCCTCATTCGAATGATATCCAACTGAATGATTATTCCATCCAGGTAATCTTTGCGTATAAAGTAAATAATTAGAATTTTAATTAGAATTGATCAAAAAATTTTTGTAAGGATACCTACCTAAAAGTTGGATATGGTTTAGTTGCAAAGCCAACCGCAATCGCTGTATCTTGATTTGGATTTGTCAGAATCGTTACTTCATAATAAAAAAACCAGCTGTCAGTTGGAGGTTGTAAAGCGAATGATTCTGGAACATATGGAGGAGGTGGTGGTGGTGGCGCTGGTGATAATGTTGAAGATGTAGAATTATCTATTATCGTTGTGTTGATATCTGTTGGAGATGAAGGAGAGTTATGGGAGGAAAGTAATTTTGATTTTGAATTCATAGTCATAGGGCTAATGTTACTTGAATCACTCAAATCCATTGAATTCATTACAGAATTCGTATCCACGGTCAATATATTCCTCTTCACATTCTTATTGTTTTTGTTATTTGACGGAGATGTGATACTATTAGTTGAACATGAGCTAGAATTATTAACACTAGCAATTTCGCTATCTATTGAATATTTCATATCAATTAATGGATAATTTGATTGCACCATAGCATCCAATTTGGCATGAAAAAAAGATAAGATAAAATCATCTGTAACGTTGGCAATTTTTAATTGTACGATGCTTGATTCAGGTACCAATTTCCATGCTTTAACACCTCCCAATTCTTTAATTAAATCTGAATGATCTGGCGGAGGTAATATTTCATTGGGTGGATTGTCTCTTGTAAATTGTTTACCGGCTTTATAAGCTGTCCAATTTGATTCTTGTCTTAAGGTATGTTTAACTATTTCCACGTTAAAAGTACTCTTACTGTATGGAGGTGGAGTTACATCCTTTGCAGAATTTAATGATGGATATTGTGAATTATGGGTATCAGTATGATCCAGTGGAGGATACTGTAGTTGTTGTTGAGCGATTATTTGATTTTGATGATTCAGTTCTGTCATTTGTAATTCTTGTTGCCATTGATGAAGTATTTGTTGAGTATTAATATTATTTTCCAACCTTTCTGATTTATACTGCTTTTTAATAAGATAACATCGTAAACATCCGCATCCACATATACACAATAATATTGCTCCTACTAATGAAAATACTATATAGCAATAATTACCACAATTCCTATTTCCATTATTATTATAGTACCAAAAAACCCAATATGAATTCGTATTTCGTAAAGGAGCTCCAGATACCAAAGATAACATTAACGCTAATATTGTTAACAATATTTTGCTGAATTTTTTTATTATTCTTGACATTATTAGTTAGGTATATTACGTAATTATGTATAAATTTATTCGTTAATATAGTTAATATAAAAGAATGTTGTAAAAAGATTTCCTATACTCCTTATTTTGTGAAACGAGTAATCTTTGAAGTTCTTTTTTTTTTTTTTTTTTTTTTTAAAAAAAAAAAAAAGAAAAAAAAAACAAAAAGGTGAAGCTTGTTTATGTTAATTTTATTAGGAACAAGGTGCTTTTTTTTGTTTATGTCGGACAACGCGCACCAATTTTGCAAAACGCGTTACAAATATTTCGTAAATTATATTATGATATATATTATATATTATCGTTATTATTATTATTATTATTAGATTATATTATTTTTTTTATAAAATTATTTTTATCCGGGTTTTAAAAAATTTGTAACAAAATTTTTTAAAGAGTTCAAAAACAAGAGTATTTATACAAAAATGTAAGATATACTACTATATAAATTATTATAGCCTATACAGGAATTCGATCAACTACTGATAATACATATTTAATTGTTTAAAATAGAAAATAAATATTTTATTTCGCACCATTGTTTTCAGTAAATACGAAATGCTTTCGTAATAACACGTGTTAGACATGTGTAACTAAATGTAATTTTATTATGGATGAAAATCATTAGAACCAATATCTTTCGATTCGGATTGGAGCTTTAATTTATAATACAGAAATAAGCAATATTTTTATTTTATTTTTATATACAGTCTCCTCTACTGTGATACCCCTCAGAACCAAAAATAAAAAGTGACTATAGTGAAAAGTAAAGATATAGAAGGATGTTTTTATAGTATTACTACCGTATAATCGAGAAAATAAGCACCCTTGAAAATAAGCACTTTCGAGATAATAACCAAATCCTTTCGTTTGGTTGATCCTTTTATCTGCTTTATGAAACAATAATGTATGTTTTGGATTTCTAGAGGATGGCATGATCATTTTTAGCTGTTGCGCAACCTTATTTTTTCTTATTTTTTTTTTTTTACGCAAAATAAGCATCGCAAAAATGGGATGTGACTAAAAAACATTGTGATTATAGAAGGGTTTTTTTATATACTGTAGTGTTAATAGGAACTTGTTTTTATGTATAGAGGAGGGTCGACTGTATTATTATATTTTTTTTTTTTTATGATTTTCTTAAAATAAAATAAAATATAATATTTGATAAAATATTCCATTATTTTTAATATCTGAAATAAGTATCTTTAATAACAAATGCTTAATAAATTATTATTATAAAAGAAATTTTCAACACTTATATTTTATTTTATAAATTTGTTTTGCTGTTTTTTAGAAAATTTTCTTTTTTACAATTTTTACAATAGATAAATCAACTTTATAACTTAATATTTAACATTATATTTATATGATATTTTACTATTAATTTATTACTATTATTTTTACTATTAAAATATAATATAATTACAATTTTATCATTAAAAATCAATGCTATCATTAAAATTCAAATTATTACTAGAAAATGAAAAGCTTTTATAAAGTTTAAAGCAAATTATTCTTTATTATTATAATTACAAAATTTATATTATTATACTTATATAATATGATAAATAAAAATTGTATATATATTTCATCTTTTATTTTATTTAATATAAAATTTTAAAATCTTTTAATATACTTTATTAAAACTAATAATTTTTATCATTAAAATTAATAATAATACTATTTTTTTATATTTATTATTATTATTACTTATATCTATAATATTTATGATTTTTATATTACTAGGGAACGGGATCCGTTCAAAGTCCGAAGTATATAAATTATAATATCATATTTTACATGATTAATTATTTTGTAACACAAAAGATATAACACGTAATAATGTAAACAAAATGTCATTGGTTATCAGGCTTGCCAAATTTAGACAGACAGAATGATCTTGCATTTGAATGTCATAGTAGTGAAGTGTCCTCCGCTATGCTTCTGACAATTATTATTATATATCTATTTAAAAGTAAAATTTGATATAATATAAAGATTTTTTAAAAAATTAAATAATCATAAAAATTTTTAATTAGATATAATTAAACAAAAAAATAAATTCAAAAATAAATAAATTTAAAAATTTAAAAATTTCTTATAATTATTATATGAAAGATTTGCTAGAAAAATAGGATTCTGAAAATTTTTTTAATAAAATTTTAATTTTTATTACCATTTAATTTTTGATGATATTAGATTTAAATGTAACCTTATTTTTTTAATAAATCTTCTATATAATAATAATATTAATATAAGCTAATTAGAAATTAAATTCAATAGATAATTTTATAAACTTAATTATAACTAAATTTAATTAAAAATTATATTATATAATATTATTTTTATTATTAATATTTAGAAATAAATAATAACAAAAAGTAATAGTGTTATTCAAAACCTGTTTTAACATATAGCTTAAAAATTTAAAAACTTTTTTAAAAATTTTAAAATAAATTTTATTTTAAATTTGAAATTTATTAAATTTAAAAAAACCTATTAGAAATTTAAGTAAAGATATTTATTATAAAAAATAGTTTAATTTCAAATTCTCAAAACTTAAATTTTCTAAAAATAGTTTAGAAAGGTATTTTTAATAGAAATTATAGGTAAACTGCAGATGTATTATTTTTTTTTTACTCAAATGAAACTTATTTTAGTCACTATATTACTTTAATTTTACTATATAGGAGATTTGTTAGAAAAATGTGATTCTAATCATTTTTTATTAAAATTTAAATTTTTATTGCATTTTAATCTAACATTATCAAAAATTAAAATGTAATAAAATTAAAATTTTAATAAAAAATGCTCAAAATCTCATTTTCTTAGCAAATTTTTTATGCGCGAAATAATGTAAACAGATCTACAAAGTGATCTGTAAAATCGATCTACAAAAGTGATTTGCAGAATTGTGATTTATAAGATTGATCTACAAATTAATCTATATGTATTACGTGATATTTTAATATTGTTAATATAGTTGACATTGTTAACATTATTGACATTAATAATATTATTAACATTATTGATATAATTAGTATAATAAATATAACTTGTTTATTTGAATTGTTATATGTAATTAAAAAGATATAAATACAATAGATTTTAGAACTTGTAGAAAAGCAAAATTCAACTTGACTGTGTACAATAATTCTTTTAGAGACATCTAAATAGCTGTATGCTTTTTTATATTTGTAAAAACCTCTTACTTTTCTTTATTTTATTTTCTTTATATTTCTTTATTTTTACTTTTCTTCTTATTATTATCAATAAACTATATTATTATTTATTTTATACATCTGCGTAATATTTTACATTGTTGTCTAAGTAACACTAAACATCTCAGCAATAGTACAAGTCTTTGTGAATCTAAGTAATAGTATAAACCTCATAAATCTAAGTGATATTTCAAGTTTTCATAATAACCACAGCCGTTGTGAATCTTTGTGAATATACAAGTTTTAATGAATTACAGATTGAATACGCCTAAGTGATACCAATTATAAGTTTAGGATTCAGAATAGATCAGTAGATTACTACATACATTAAAAAGAAACAACACTCAAACACCTCGTTTAACTGTAGCGATCCACCAAAATCGCATGTTAACAGTATAATTTCTGAATGTATAGTAAGCATAGAATCCACAAATAAACAGTTTTTTAATTTTTTTAATGCAGTAATATTAGAACAATATAATGATATAGAGGTATAAATTTTTGTTAAAAAAGAAAAGTCTGAAAATTGGTGGGAAGTTGATAATGAGCTAAGGGTAAATTAACAGTGTTAGAAGTTTTAAAATTTTTGCAAGTTAAATTTTGTCTTATTTCTGGATTAAATTTAAATACACATATCAATTCTAATTTAAACTAGACCAAATGCTTTTAGAATTTTAATGAAAAATTCAAGTTGATCTTTACTTTTTTTGCATTATACTAAAAACAATAATTATGATAAACTTTATAATAAAATCAATGAGTTTTTTAAAGTTCAAAAAGTTGGCTGAATAGGTAGTTTTGCATGATATAATTGGCAAAAAATTTGTAAACTATCTCACTGATACTCTTTAATATATTAATCCACATCTTTCTGCATTGTGTACACGTTCATACCATTTACCAATTCTTTTTTCACAACTAAAAACTTATTAGAATGGTAAATTATACAACAAATTTTATCATACCAGTCATCATAAAAAAACCCATTATAATATCAAAAACTTATTCAACTTTAAAGTTCTCTTGAATTATCTATTAATCAACTGTAAGTATGTAATGATTTATGGGATAAAATAACACCTGCAATTTATTTCTTTAGTTGAAAATATTCAGAATATCTGATTATAATAAACACTAATATGAATAAATAAGGTTGCTGGACGAAATCAAGAGTTTAGAGATGTTTAAATAGTAAAAGTAAAACTTGGTTAAATTATATTAAAACCTTATTAAAAAATCTGCGAAATTTAGAAAAAGGTAAAACTATATTAAAGCTTATAAAAATGGCAAAACTATATCAAACGCTTAGTAAAAATTTAGTGAAACTAAAGGTTTAATCATTTTGCTAAATCTAAATGAGTTTAGACAAGCAACCTTATGAATAAATGTCATCATAATGATAAAAGTGCTTGTAGCTCTGAAAAAAGTAATACTATATATTGAATTTCTGCTTGTAAATATAATAGTCTTAACAAAAATTATATTCAATTAAATGATACTTTACTTAAAAAATAATTTTATGAATATATTGATATTAAGTCATATCTTCCAATTGATATTATGAAACAATATCGATTTATAAAAAATTTATAGCTTATATTTCCAATAGATGTATATAGATTGATACGTATTTAATATATGATATAAAACAAATTTTTTTTATATAATTATTAACAACAATTTAATTTTTAGATATTATCAAGGCAATTATTTAGGAACTATTAATTATATTTGAAAATTTCTGAAACTGAAGTTTTTAATGATGAA